TTTACATGTTAGAGATCATAATTAGATTAAGAGCCCGCGTCATTACGTCACCGCGCCACGCCGTTCGACGTCACTCCAAAATTTCACGTATCGACATACAGTTGGTCTTCGTTATGGGACCGTATACAGTTTTGGGTGTATTTGTTTCATTTTTTCTAACGCTTTAAGTGCAGTTAATTATTAGCCATGCTGTACGTGCAAATAGACGACTGCTTGAAGCCGTGGGCTGCGTCTCAAATCGCATACTCACCTACTGTATAGTAGTACATGTATTTTTCCCCATTACAGGCCTGTAGTAGGCACGTAGGCAGTTTGAGACACAGCCGAACTCTCTTGTTCGCCGTAAAATATAAAACTGCCGTGTGTGATCGTGTCCTGTCGCAAAATGCGGTGAAAACGCTCACACGACGTTCATAATGTGATTAAGATGTTTACATGTCTGTAATACACGTCCATAAACCGATTAAAACAGGAGTACTCCACCTGTCTTAATTCGATTAGAGCTTAATTAGATTAAGGTTGGTGTTTACATGGTAGTTTCTTAATCAAAGTATGGTCTTAATTAGATTAAGAGTGGATTATTGTTGTCCATGTAAACGTACTGATAGTTAGGTTCCCTAGAGTGTATGTTAGTTAGCTAGCTAGAGTTACTGGGCTAGTTCATATCTATTGTCCTTGATGTAGATGTACAGAATCATCTGATAATACAGAAAAATGTGATATGAACTGGCTGTCATTGAATTTATACAGTTCTATACCTCATACCTAACCACTAATTACAATTTCGAATGACCTCGTGACATCTTTAATATATGAATGTAACATGAAGTCTCTCAGATTTGTTTGTGTGCCATAAGCGGAATGGTGTCTCACTTTCAGTCAGCACTTTTGGTCTTTACAGAACAAACTGGGCTATTCTTTCACACTGGTCCCATGAATAAGTAATTCAGAGTGGTGCTTTTATCTGGTCCTCGTGAATCACAAGCTGCTCAATCTTTCCAACCTTTCCATCCATCCATCCATCTTCTACCGCTTACTCCTTCTTCAGGGTCACGGGGAACCTGGAACCTATCCCAGGAAGCATCGGGCACAAGGCGGGGTACACCCTGGACAGGGTGCCAGTCCATCGCAGGACACACTCACATACACATACATTCATACACTACGGACAATTTGGACACGCCAATCAGCCTACCATGCATGTCTTTGGACTGGAGGAGGAAACCGGAGTACCCGGAGGAAACCCCCGCAACACGGGGTGAAGATTTTTTTAAACAAACAAACAGCAGGACATTGCAGTACATCTTTAACAGACTGCACACAACAGCCAACCAATTATATTCCTATGAAGTGATATTACTACAAGGTTACTTTAGCAATTTTAGTGTGTAAGCAAGGACGCATATATAGATCATGTGTGGTTGATATGGAAATCATCCAGATGGAGATCATTTTGTAGTCATTCTGGTGAAGCAAAACCTTTTATTTTTTAAGTGACCTTTTGTTATAATTTGACAATCCTTCCTCCATTGAAATGTATATGTATAGGCTTTATCTTTTAGGATAATTACTTGTTACACTGTATGAGATTGTTCCAATAAAATCTTGGCCAAATTCTATAACAGACTGCATAACAATGTGTTCTCCATGTCAGAATATATGATGAAGATCCTCTAACGGTGGACCTGTGATTTAACAAAAATAACTACCCTGTACTTACGTCATCCATCAGCGCCAGCCAGGTTCACACAGAAAACTGGGTCAAATAGACAGAAACATTCTTGAAAGTGAGATTAAGATAAAATTCATGAATTAGCATGTATTTCTTTGTTTTGCCATTGCCACTACAATACTTGTAGCTGTTTCGTTGTCATCCTGTGCATTCCTCATACTGCCGGCTTGTAGACAAGCATCATAGCAGAGATTTTATTCAAATTTTATTTGACACTTCCAGAACATCGACTAAATCAGTCACCAGTGACCACGTCACATTGTGCTCTAAGACTGCCGTTCTTACATCGCACAATGAACAAAAAATACATTTATGCTGTGTAATTTTTCTTTGACAGCAAAATGAATGCTTTTTAAACCCAGCATTAATGAGCTATATCTTATCTGTTTCTATCCATTATTTTTCCCGTCATCAGATAGCTTCATTAAATGCTAGATTAAGCTAAAATTCGATGTGTCTCTCAAGATCTGATCAAATCAGATTAAATGGCTAGACAGAGCAGCTATTAGGCTACAGTACATTAACCAAGAATTTTTGGCTTCTGTCAGAAAACACACTGATGTGCATTGCTGGTCTGGTATAGGCATGTACGCAGACAGAGATTGATTTCAGGCTAAATGGATGACAGGGTGCCAAACCGAGGCTTGTCATGAGCGACCATTATAGATTTTGTAGTGCTGGATTGTACATCCTTGAATGTGAAATGATAAATAGAGATGGAAAGACTTTTTGAATGGAGCATTAAACTCCTGTGTTTGATATGCTGTGAAAGCATGGATGCCATGAGAAGGGTTTTTCCCATGATAAAAATACATTAATTTGAACATTTTTGTGTCCGTTCATTGAACTGTAGATTTTCACTCGCTTTTCATGTGACTTTTTAGTTCATTTATAAAGCCGTGCTGTAAATTAGTGCTTTGATTATACAGGGTGTCCCAAAAGTCTCCATACAGTAGGGGACTGTGTTTGCCAGCACCGTGTCGGATGTGCCTTCGTCAGTGGATGTTCGTGGAGGTCTACTTCTCGGTTGGTCAGCAACACTTCCGTTCCATTCTGAAAGGCTGTCTGAAAAAATATATCTAATACAAACTAAAAATGAAAAGTTTTGGAGGACATTTTACTAAAAAAGTCTTATGTAGGGTATATGGGACATCATGCAACATCTTATTTTGAAAAATTAAATGAAAGACACTTATGTCTGGTAACAGAATTAAATTCACAGTTTGAAGGATTTGAAGGATGTTTTACGGATCAACCATGAAGAGATGCCTTCTGGGAATATTACCTAAGTCCTCTCTCCACTCAGCAGAGAACGACACTTTCCCGCTCATCCCTGGAAGATTAGCCCAGCAGATAAAAGAGCCCCAGGCATGACGAGATATGACCGTCTTGGGACTCACCCTGTAGGATATGTCTGGTGTTCTTCCTCTATCTCATTTTTCATTGGCACAGCCAGCATGAGACAGATAAGCTGTCTTTCAGCATGTACCGAAGGATATGAATGAGATGACCCAGGAGTGTCCTTTCTCCATAAACAATGTTTTGTCAACATGGCCAGGCACAAAATGGTGTCACTAAGCACCAGGATCATATGGCAGAAAACTGATTAGAAGGTATTAAATATTCAAATGGTTTGTCACTTTATTATATTAACGTACTTTTGTATTTGGAGTAGGCATCCACAGTTTTAACATAACGTATTTGATGTGCTTTTTGAATGTCGCGTAATGGAGGTTAGGACAGATGCAATTGCATTTAACAGCTTTAATGATGATTATAATATCCAGTGGGCAAGGCAAAAGACATAAACAAAGACAGGCACTGGTCAGGTGATCAGGCAAACAGGCTAGAGCAGGTAAGGCAGAAATTAAGGTCAAAGGAGTAAACAAAGTCAAAAACCACGCAAACAAACACTAGATTAAGGCTTGGTACACAACAGAGAAGAAGAAGAAAAAAAAACAACTGTGTGAGTGTAATTATTCACAACGGCTGCATGTGAGAGTTTCTTAAGTAGTATGATGAGATTGAGAACAGGTGTGTGTGATTAGTCCTCAGGAGAAGGTGACTTGTCTGTGTGTTCCATTGGGAGTTGTAGTTGTCGGACATGTTTGTAGTTTGTGGTGCGTTCTGGGAAATGGAGTTGCTGGTTTGTCGTGACATGATAATGAATAACTTCTTTCTATTTTTCTCTGGCGTAACTTTTAGAATGAATTATCTTGCTCTCCACTGACAGGCTGAACAACCATGGCTTTCTATCAGGAGTTTGTAAAGCTGTTGATTCTGCCATACTGCGTGATGCCATGGCCTCAGTTAATCAGGCAGTTTTTAAATACCCTGTTCACACCTGCACTTGTATCTGGATTGTATCCTGATCAGATTTGAACCACATGTATTTGTAATCAAATGCATCTCTGGTCAGGACTAAGATCTGTATTGTGTGTTAATAGGCAAATCAGCTCACAACCTTCTTTGTCATTCCTTGTTTTGTAGTTGCATTTATGTCAGACATTTGCATATTGGAGCACAGGCATGGCATTATGGGAGAGGATTTGGTTGGCAAATGTTGCTTGTAGAAACAGATGCATTTACACTTGTATAACATGACTAAAGGCATCTCAGAGCTCCTGAGGTGGTTTGAATACATTTAAACCTGTGTTTATGTCACAGGTGGGTAGGTAGAGAATGAGGGCTCAAGAGACTCAGACAACAGACAACGCAAAATATTAAACTAAAACTAAACTCCTTGACAAACACACACACACACACACACACAGCGTCAGGTTGTTCAAAGTTGTCTGAATTGTGACCTTTCTTGTAGAAGCACAATCTCTATTTCTTGAAATAAGTTTCTCATTAACCAGTGTAAACATTAGCTAGTTACCTGCTCATTCAATTCCTCCTTCCAGTCACAGCCTGCATTCGAACACGCCCCCAGTGCCTCACTGCTGCAAATATGTCTTGGATACATTTACATGCTTATTTTTATGCAGATAATCCCTATCCGGAAATAATGTCCCACCTGTAGGAGATATGTTACCAATGGTGGATTAGTTAGATAAACAGAGCTGGCTGTAAATTCAGCCATTCATAACTCACAGGGGGAAGAGTAGGGGAGCCAGAGTGACCATGTCTGGCCTTTCTCAACACGAATCCCTGATTTCACACTCTTGTAAAGATTAGGGGATTAGCGCTAAAGATTTGTCTGTCAGACTTCCTTTATGTACATAGAGAATGAGTACCAAATTCAAGAAGATGGAATATGCTGGTGGGCTATGGGCTTAGTGGTTAGCACGTTCGCCTTGCATGTCCAGGGTTTGGGGTTTGATTCCCGCCATGGCCCTGTGGGTGTGGAGTTTGCATGTTCTCCCCATGAGGTTTCCTCCCCTGTTTTATTTATCAAAACAATTACAAATTTATTCTTAAATAATACTTATTCAAGAACATGTTTTCATAAGTATGACAAATCTTTTTTTTTTTTTTTTTTTTTTGCTTTTTCAAAAATTCCCAGATGAAAATTTTAAAATGTACTTCGGTAAAATTAAAATATGGCCTACCTAAATAGCCTGGTTATTTTCAAGGGTACGCAAAACAACGCCTTCACCAAGCAGTGACACAATTGCCAAGTATATTTAGCTTTGTTTTGTGTGTGTGTGTGTGTGTGTGTGTGTCCAGTCCTGTCAATGGACAAAGAACAAGTTTATGGATGTGTAACAATCACACTAAAACACTAAAATGAGGTAACCAGCAAGTTTAATATTATCTACCAGGGGCTGATATTTAATTGATTTGGTGGTAAAACAGCAACACACATTGAATTTGAACAATAAGCACTGATTTTTAGAACGTATTCACAAATACGATGTCTGCAGTATTTAAAATAAGGCAGTACAAATTTTTATTAATGTTATTGTTTAGTAATGTTATTATTTAATGTTATTGTTATTTCACCTGTCTGCTACAATATATCGGAGTTGTTTTCCATGGTCTTTTAGTGCTCACCAGTGTCTTTTTTTTTAATGCACCATACAGTTGATTTGTCCACACCTAATGTTTTTCTGTCTCTCTGATCGGTTTGTTTGAATTTTTCAGCCTAATGATGGTTTGTATCACTGACAGTGACAGGTCTTTGGACTTCATATTGAGAGTTACCAGTGTCAGATTCCAAATGCAAACGCCACACTTGACCTTTTATCTGCTAACTTGTAAGTGAATTAATGAGGGAACAACACACAGCTGGCCATGGAACAGCTGAGTAACCAATCGTCCAACTTTTGGTCTCTTAAAAAGGGGGACCACATAAAACGTGCTGTAATTCTTACACTGTTCATGCAGTTTGAATGTAACTCACATTAAAGCTGAACATCTGATAAATATTTCATTATATAATTATTTACTCAACTCTAATATACTGTTGGATACAGCTAAAATAGCGATAACTTTGTCGATGTCTAAATATTTATGGACCTGACTGTAGGCTCTTTCTTGTGCAAGTTTATGTAATATTGCAAGCGTATTTTAAGTTCGGTTGGACGTAATTTTTTTCATGGTGAGAAAGAAACATTTCACTGGTGTGGGTGGAGCGGCAGAATTACGGTGTGGCATTTCAAATCTGCTGGCAGAAGGGTATTTTCAAACTCATAGTCTAAAATTGTCCTTACTGACATTACCACCTCCAAATGGTTAAATATCATTTTCCTGTTTTTACAACCCAGTAAAAAATTATTATATATAAAAAATAAAAATAAAAATCCTGGAACACCTGGACACAATTGGGAAACACACCGATAACGGGACGGGGCAGAGACAGGACTAGAATCAAAATGAAAAGCGCACGATCAAAAATCAAAAGTGCATGATTTGAATTGAAAACAAAACATGAACGCAGTGATCATTCGAAAAAGTAGTGGTTAGCACGTTCGCCTCGCACAAGCTAGCATTTATATAGCTTTAAAACTGACAACTGAACTCTACTTCGTAAATTAAAATGTGTTCACGCTGCTAAAATAATATAAAATAATATGTTTTTTCGACGTATTTATTTGCAATTGTCTTTTTTAGATCAGAAATATGGATGAAAGGGTTCATACCAGAATATACAACAGTCATGCTGTCAGGAATACTTTTAGCTGTTGCCTGTAATACAGTGTGCGCTTACTCTTTGTTTTTATGGCTGTTAATTGAATGATGCATGTTTCTCTCTGCTGCTCTCTCACTAATGGCTGCTGGTGCCACGCAGAAAGGTAGTTTGTCTGGAGGAAAAGCCAATGATAACACACATACATGGAGGCCGAAAATAGCCAGGTTTTATCTAGTCTTGTGTGAATAATGGATCTGCTTGTGTAAAGCTAGCATATGTCATACTGTATATACAGGTATTGATATTCATGCAACACAAATGGACAATTGTTGCATATTGAAATAGTGTATGAAGGACGTGATTAGATTACAGTAGTAGCGTAATGTCACTAATGCTTATTATCTAATGCAATCTAAAATATTTAACCCTCCTATTATGTTATGGGTCAGTTTGACCCATTTCCACATTTGAGATGTCTGAAATACTGGTTAATCTCTCTTTTTCTACTGGAACTTTTTTTTTTTTCTTCCTCATTTAGGGTCATGAGCATATTTGCAAATAGTTCTTCTTATGGCTCATTTTTAGGGGTGTACGAGTGGCTTAGTGGTTAATATGTTTGCTTCGCACCTCTGGAGTTGGGGGTTTGCCCTCTGCCCTAAGTGCAGGGAGTTTGCATGTTCTCCCGTGCTTCAGGGTTTCCTCTCGGAAATTTCCAGATTGTCCATGGTGTGTGAATGTATGTGTGATTGTGCCCTATGATGGGTTGGCAGCCCATCCAAGGTACCCCCCGCGTCATGCCCTGAGTCCCCTGGGATAGGCTCCAGGCTCCCCCACAACCACAACCATATGTAGGATAAGCGGTACCGAAAATGGATGAATGGATACATTTATTTTTGGAAAACAATGCCGTTCTCTTAAATGAAAAGCATACTGAGATATAAAAGATCAATCCACACAGAGACACATTTTAAATTTCATTTCATTTAATTTAAAAAAAAAAAAAAAAGAAAGAAAGAAAAGAGAGCTTGGTGATGGATCAGCAGTTTATAGCTGCTATAATGTAAGTGGTAGCACAAGCTAACTTGTCTTGTGGACATTCCTTAACATTAAATGTAACTATAACCAGTTTAAAAATGCCATGTACTTCATTATTAAGTTAAAACCTGTCAACGTTGGCAAATTGCTCTGGTATCAGAGGAATAATACACTGTTATTGGAGAATAATTTCAGCACTGATGATTTTCCTGCAGCAGCACACTGCGCCCATAGTGTGTTTTTCCTTAATTAATCTAATTAATCAATTTGAAACAATAAAAAAAAAAAAACCTCCATAACTGACTTCGAGATGTTTTTAAAAAGCATTTCCACAATAAACTTCAATGATTCTCGGAAAATGGCTGCATGACTCATTTGATCGTTCCGACCCAGCCCTAGTAGTTGTGGCTGTAATAAATGGGGACACATCAGAATAAACTGCCTCATGCTAGTATGGACCAGAAAGCAGAACTGTCCCTTCAAAACCACTAGCATTCTTCCCTATACTGAGCTTATCTCCTTTATACACACATCACAGTGGTCCCATTTAATAAAGAATATTCACTTTGGTTCCCTTTCCAGGTCACGCAATAGGAAAGTCGGACGTCTGTGACAATAATCTTTTCAGTGCATACTCATAGGTCAGTTTACACAAGTCAAAAATGTATGTATTCAGAGACGACCTCTGCAGCAATTCAATCTCAGGGTTATTGCTCTTTTAATAAATGTTCTCTGTGTGATAAGGGTAAAGGTACAGTGCCTTTTTTTCTGCGTTCCTCAGGAATCTCCTTTGATCGAGGCATGGCACACTTCCATAAACGTGTAGTGAAGACCAGACTTGAATAATGAAGAACCAAGTTTATGTTCTTAAAACATGGGAGGGGCTGCTAAACTCACACCTGATTGCAGTTCATTTGATTGAAACACCTAACTTCAATTACTCATTTAAATGAGCTCATTCTCCTAGATGTTCACATTCTTTTTACATCCATCCATCTTCTACCACTTACTCCTTCTTCAGGGTCGCGGGAGAACCTGGAGTCTATCCCAGGGAACATCGGGCACAAGGCAGGGTACACCCTGGACAGGGTGCCAGTCTATCGCAGGGCACAATCACATACACACTCACACACCCATTCATACACTATGGACACTTGTGCATGTCTTTGGACTGGGGGAGGACACCGGAGTACCCAAAGGGAACCCCCGCAGTACGGGGAGAACATGCAAACTCCACACACACGGCATCGGCAGGAATCGAACCCCGGACCTGGAGGTGTGAGGAGAACGTACTAACCACCACGCCATGTTTTTGTGTCATTTGTTTAAGTTGGTACTCATTATCTAGTCTAAGGACTTAGATGAAGATCTGATCGAATTTCAGGTCAATGCAGAAATACTGAAAATGGTTCACAAACTTTCTAGCAGCGCTGTAGTAAGGGTAACTATGGCAGCATAATCCAGACTTTATTCAAATTCAAATGATGCACATACAAGCGCGCGTGTGTGTGTGTGTGTGTGTGTGTGTGTGTGTTTGTGTGTTTGTGCACATAATTTAGGACATAATTAAAATTCATTTAAATTTTTGCGAACAAAAATTACAATCACTGACAAAATTAAAATGCATATTGCAAGTCAAATCCACTTAAAATGACTTTGCATTTTGAGTCTTAGTCAGATGCCTCATTTAAATAATGTCCATTTATTTATTTCTCATTTGAATAATGTTTTCTTTGTTGTTCCAACATCAAGACCAGTGCACTGATGCTCCGTGTTGAATACATGAAACAGCCCGGAAATCTTGTCGGTAACGAAGTATTACATAGGCAAAATTTTCTATAACAACATGACTATTAGCATAACATGAGTTCTGGGTGTAATATAAACAATAGGTTTATATTAATGCACTCATTCTAATACGTTATAGTAACAGCTCACATAATCTAAGCCTAATAATAAAGACATTAAGGGTGTTTTCTGACCTGTAGACTGTGCTTTGTTCCGAAACGGGGACTTAAATTGTACCAATGTTGCGTTTTCTCCTTGGCTCAGTTCACTTTCACAAGGCAACATTACAAAGTGCACCAAAATGAGTTGATGCAAGTCACATGTGAGTAAACTATCCTCTCATTGGTCAGAGTGCCGTGGTCATTGAGACGCTCGCTGAACACCTTGTAAAACCTCTGCGTTTTGATGTGTTTTTGAAAGTTGTTCAAAAATATGTTCGT